TTTAAAATTTCGTAAAAAATGAAACTTAGTGACATGTTAACGCAAATATATTTCTGTTAATTTTGAAAGAAGCAAAACAACCTGTTTCTTGTACTTTAGCAACCAAAAGGAAACTTTATTTTAGGGTTTACTTAAATTACAACACAAATTCGGTTACTCCAGTTTCTTTTGGAAGGAAACTATAATGGCTGCTCAGACGTCAGAGAAAATTTTTAAAATGTACGAAAAATCAAGCAAGTAAATACGAAGGAGGTTTCCACGAAATAAATTGTTGGGATAGGAATAACTTTTCGACAGCGCGTAATTAAATTATGTAAATATTTAGCTTTTATTATTGCTGAAGGAGCAGTTACTTTTTAATAAGTTACACAATAAAATTCATGCCATGTGAAAAATCTATTTCAGTTACGATTTAGATTATAATCGTTGTTATCGATACGACGCAAAGCCCTTTATCTGGTGAAGTTTGGAATTCAGTATTTTTCTCTTGTTTAGAAACAATCCCGTATTCAGGTTCATTTTTGTAACAAACCGCACACCGTAATACATATTATCACGAATTTTGTATATATTTAAATGATTTTAGTGAAATTGTATGTGAAAGTTTAGTATCTTTTAAATAATGTAACACAAAATGCTTGAAAAAAAGAAACTCTGCCGAAAATTTAAGGTTACAAGGGCAAGTCTTTAACATTGAGGTAAAAGGCTGTCTCCCTAAACTGGCGAGATATCTCCAAGTTGGGATAACTTTCGTGACTAATTTTGTCGCCAAATTTGGAGAGAAATATGCAAAGGTCGTCACGACATTTTGGTCCCGTCCTACTTCTAGAACTGTGAAATGTTTCTTTTGGGAAAATAATTTCTATCAATCTGTCATCGGTTCTGTGTACATTCAGTCCTTCACAAACCCGTACGCACGCAACAATATCTATTTACATTCTCATTTAATCTTTAATCATTTGATTACAACATTAACATTTCTACAGAAAAGAAAATTGAATGAGTTTTAATAATATTCGCCGTTTCTGTTTTCTACTAAAATCCGCAAGGAGGGCGACTTCCAGCTGCTGCGACATTCTACAGTGGGGGCCAAACTTTACTACGATAAGAGCCGCATGGTAGATCCTGTGAAACCTCGAGAACCGCAGCTGGATTTTCCATAACAAATCCGCATTTATATTGGTTAAAAATAAAGAAACATTTCAAGTAAATTAATGAGAGTTTCGTATTTTTGTGCAAGTAATATAGTTCCGTGAAAATGCGGAACTTAATTTATTCTGTTCCATGATCAGAAACGTATATCCCAACAAATTATAAATTTGAAACTACCAAACGATGCATTTGAATGTTATTCTTTCAGGGAAAAAACAAGCATTTTCTTTTAGTTTCTTTTATTCCTCTTCGTTCGTAACTGCTGTTTAGTTTTATTAGAACTGAACTAAAGTGGGAAGAATATGTATGTTTCTTTAAAAATACATATGTAAAAGATTTTTCATCTGAGTGAAGAGTCACTCATTTTAAAAAGCAAATTTAATGTTTTTTCTTAAATTTAGACTCCTATATAGTGTTTTAGAGAAAATTAAATAAATGATACGAGACAGTGCCCATATGAGAGAAACTGTTATTCGAGAAATAAAAACGATTTCAGAATAAGCTATTAACGTTTTTAGGCTTTTGCATGGAAAACTGATAACTATAATTTTTAATATAATTAACATAACGTCCAACATACCATCAAATTTGACTTGAATTATTCCGTTAGATGCAAACTCGACTATAAGTTATATTTTTTTCGTAAGGCGGATACCTTCAAAATCTGATATCTCTCGAATCTTCAGAAAGATTTTCAATTCTAAATATCGAAATTTAGAACTATTTTCATTATTCAGACCTTTTGAACCCCAACCTAAAAAGTTGTTAAACTTTTTAAATCAAAACTTGGGAAAATTATTTGTTGTACTAATACCTTGTACATAAAAATTTATTAAAAAAGATAATTGCAATATCAATGGCATTGGAATCTTCATTTCATTTATGTCAGCATTGAGCTTACATTATTTCAGTATAATTTCTAGCGAAGTGTTCCAGAATTCGTAAGTAATGAGCACTCAAGACTTCACTGAAAATTTTTAAAACTACCTCTCAAATTGCCTCGATAATTATGAACATAGATAGCCTATTACTAATAAATTTAGAAATTTATGCCATGATATATAAATGTTGCTTTGGTCACATATTCCTTCTGTATAGCAGTCGAACTCTTCAGCAATCGCTGTTGAATCTCAAGCTGGTTTTCAAACACAGCCAAATCAAAATTAATGATGCAGGAAGAAAAGATACTTATAATTACTGCAAAGAAATTATTTCACAAATATAGATGCAAAGTGAACGTTTAACTCTCCAGATTTCTATGGACATGCACATATGTTGGATCTGAAGTTTTTTGTAGCATGGCAAACGTATACACTCTCGTTTAGTTTCCCAATTCTAGCCAGACAGGTGTACGTATCCACCTGTTCTGACTGTAAACTACTGGAACATATAAAGACAGTCAGATGACTTATCAGCTCGACTTAAAATTAAGTAAAATAATTTAGATTCAGTATTTTAAAATAAATCTTCTTTGTAAATTGTATGACTAAAGTTTACATAGTCTGTGTATGAAAAATAAATCCACTCAGCTTTTAGGATCATCAAAAAAAGTTTAAATAAAATTAAAATAGTATATTACATGACAAAGGTAGCCCACAAGCTTTTTTAAGGCCCACAGACTTTCACTAACAGTTACGGGTAGCAAATCAGAGGTGAAATAAGTAGCATAGCTACTAAGATAAGTAATAACGAGAAGTTAGCTATAGCTGCCAAAAGATCTCTCGTAATAACTCTGCGCTTAATACATGAACTAATGTGGATGTCGCTGGAAACCCATGAAAGCAGAAAGGAAAATGAAGACAAAATAATAAGATAACAGATTAATAAACATAAAACTCTCCACAGGCAATAATATAGCTTGATCAATTGAGCCAAACATTTCGCCTGACCGCTACTTTATTTGGTATACGTCGTGTTGAGAAGTGGGCATAAAGAATTCTCTTTCAAGTATCTTCAAGAAATACATTTTAAGGTTGTGCCAATAAACAAAGTCACGTTTTGTTAAAGCATAAAATACGTTTATCTCCAAAGAATTACTTGTATATTCCCTATGTAACTGGCGGGTTTTCCGTAAATCAAATATCATATTATATCTGTTCACTTTCACAAGTAAATGAAACGGGTCTTTTTCATAGAATGAGATTCTACCCACAAAATCATCTATGCTAAATTTCACCCATTTGACTTTTCGGTAGTGCCCGTGCTTTTTTAAATTTATGAGACCTTGAACTGCAGAAGCTTGTGCAACCTACGCCATAAAGTTGCTTACTTGTCTGTCGGCATGACGCATGGACTTTGTGACGCTTCAAGCCTAAATGGCACAAATGTTTTCCGCCAGTTCAGTATTGATTTCTGCTTAGCTGTTAACCTGTACAAATGTCAGAACGATTGTGTTTTTTCTCGAACAAGCTAGCCCTAGCTTTAAACCGTTTCATTTGGTTTGCGACATTGTGCCAGTGAGATGCATTTTCAGAAAATTTGATTTGGAAATCTCTCTAAACAGCGATTACTAATGTCTCTAAAAGCGAGTTTTTACGTGTTCAAACCTTCAATGAATACTTTTCGTTGAAGCTGTTATTTTGAATTTAAAGTAAATTTATTATAGGAATCATATATGTGGTTTCTTTTTGTATTGTCCGTCTTAAATTATGTTATATTTGTCAAATTGTGTCGAGAAAGTGAGCTTTAAGGCTCAAGTTTTAACCTATATTAGTGTTTACCTATGCTAAAGTTTGTTTGTATCCTAATAATAAGTACAGACGTAAACAAGGAGAAGAATAACTAGCATAATTAAGTATCTAACAGTTCGCAAATGCTACTTAATGTTTGAAGAATGTGGAGATCTAACGCCAGATTTAATGACAGCGCTATTAAATATTCCATTCAGTTTTAATAAATACGCTCTACATTCCTTATAGGAAGTTCTATATTAATATATTAAAGACGAGATAGATTGCGTATATTTGTGATATTTGAAGCTAAAGGTCTAAGGCATTAAGTAAACGTCAACTTGAGTTCTTTAGAAAACGACAGTTTAAAATGATAATTCTTTGAAATGTAATCTGCATGCGTACGGGGCAAATGAAAGGTCGGAGTTCAAAACGAAACGTTTATGGGACTAAAATCTAACGGAACTTCACAATACACAATGTGAAATTTTTATGATCAGGGAATGGGTAGTAGCTCAACATTTTTTGGGCTACTAAGCTTTCGTGAGGGGTATGCCAGACATACAAGATTATCGAAGATTAAGAAAATCAAAAGTATCAACAGATTAAAGAATTGTAGTGCAAGCACCAGAACCGGGACAACCGGTTCAGCTGCACTGGACTGCAAAATAAAGAGGCGAAAAATTTTAGATGCATCGGACGGCAGAGAATACAACACCGGCTCTATCCTAATGTGATATCCGTGGAGAACTAAAGAGAAAACGTTTGTCAAGTAACTATCATCAGTATCTTGACAGAAGCTGTGTATTAGAAAAAAGAAATTTGTGTCCAGTTGGCCCCTCATTGCTTGATTCAACATTATCGAAACGAAGGATTGATAATAAAGGAGAAAGCTATCTATCGCGAATAATGGAAATTGACAAAATGTGAATTGAATATTTTGACCAGAACTGAAATCGCTGTCAATTGAGTGAAGTCCATTCTCTCCGTGACTCCCAAAATTTCACCATACTTCAAACACTGGTTGCCTAAATGATGAACATTGCCTAGGATTGTCAAAGCATTATTTCGAAAGATGCGAAACGAGAAAAACTGAATTTCCGCGCTAAAAGATGTAACTTCAGCATTTTAGTGTGAGTGATTGCAAAACAAAAGTGAAGAATATTGAATAAAACTTACCTAACATGCTTGAAGACTCGGAATTAAAGCTCACTGCTTATCCCGATGACCATTATACGCTCTAAAAGTAACATGACTGTAATAGTAATTGGCAGAAAATTCTATTTGTTATTCTGGCAGGAAACTTGAGGTTGAAAGCTTGAAATCAATTAAATTGTTACATACATAATATAATTTCAGAAAGCAAATTAGTAATTAATAAAGAAGTCTGTCATTTCATTATTTCTATTTCAAAATGCAATTATACGTTGAAAATTAAGCTACTGTTTACTGAGAACAAGTCGTATTTAAAGGGCCCAAGAGCCGCAAGGTCGCAAGCCGCAGTTAAGGTGGGAGAGCCGCGGTTTGGCAATGCCTGCTCAGTACTGATTTTACTGCATCAGCAATCAATAAAATTTTCGTAATATACTCCTATTTAAAACTAGATATTCTTCTTTTACAGTTAAACTGTTGGTCATAACGTTATCTTATCTCAAACCTTAACGTTATCTCAAAATTTATTTAATTTAAATCTTCCTATTGCTACATTTCTCCTTTAGTTCATTCACAGAACTTATTGAGAAATTATGCAGATTTAAGCTGCAGTTTTAGTATAATATTAGAGGAATAGCTCGTAACTGTGAGAATATTTTGGCATTGATACCGGCTGCTTACTATAGAATTTGTCTCTTGTCGACAAACCCCTGACTCGCTTCAGACTGTAAAGCTCAATATAGAGTTAGTTGTTAAATCACTATGAGCATGTAATAATGAAACACGGGACCTCTAGCAGAAGTAATTGGACTTTGTTATGCTACATAATTAACAACAGAAGTTTTGTTTTTTTTTCCTACAGGCCGTTTTCAAGTTATAGTGCGTACTGACTGCATGTAGAGATAAGAAATTTGGGGATCAGAGTTGATGAATTTAGTTCTTACGCTCATAATACAAAATTGGAATTACCATTACCAAAGACATGTAACATTCTACCTCCTTCATACCTATCTTTTCTATTACAAAGTATACTGGAATACATATGACGTTACCTAGCGCATATAGTAAATATTCCATGATACAGATTTTATGCTACAAATGAGATTAACAAAACCAAAATGCATATTTTTAATACTCATAATAGTCAGTATGCATTTGATCTGGGGAGTTACCAGCTAGAACCATTGCACTGATGGATTAAGACAGAAATTTTTAAAGCACCCTGCAGTAATCTAAATCAATTCATTATCACTTGTAAGCCAACAATTTGTGCCATCCCTTAATGGTTAAGATCATGTTCAGAAGATGCTCCATTTGTATTGTAGACAGTATATGTAGATCAGATTTGCAGACTTAACTCTTACGGACTATGCGAATCAGTCTTGCAAATTTCGGTACTTTTCCGTTTCGCCGGCGCAAATCTCGCTAAGCATACTTTATTGGCGACAACATACCGTATACAAGTATACACATAAAAAATGTTAACAAATGTTAGTTCTAAGAATTTTTTTTATTTTGGAGGCATAAACATTTGAATATCGTTTAAAATTTTGTAAAAAGCCAATAAATAAAGACAATAAATTTGTAAAAAGATTGTAATTTAAGAATTTACTATGCTTTCATGATTCAACATCCTGATTCGCCGTCTTATATCACGTGACCCCAAGTGATCTCATCTCACATAAACTAAGCTACAAAAATCTAATTCTCTCAGTAATTATCTACATTAATTTCAAGTTAAATCTTAATATAGAATACAAGTTTAAATGCAAGAATTATTTAAGTTCGTACGAATAGCTTACTCAGAAATTATGTAAAACCGCAGTGTTTTACTTCGCTAGAACATTCTGATTAGAATTGATGAATTTAACTCTTGACTTTGCCTTTTCTATATTTTTGCCTTCGGATAAGCGGTGTGATTGCATCCTAATTGACTTAATTATCGCGAATGGCCTTAGGGCATAAAATTGAACTATCTGGTAAAAATTCTATGTAATTATATGCCAGTATTGAAAGAAACAATCAATCTTATAAAAAACGACTGCTACTTGTTTTGAAAATGAGGCGTAAAAGGTTACTAGCGAGGATATTCTATTTGGCACCAGTTGTACCATTATTGGCAACTTTATCGCCTGCGCCGGCAAAACGGAAAAGTACCCAAATTTCTTTGCTCCTGAGGAAGAGAAACCTGCAAATTTTTTCCCTCGAAATCGAATGAATTCAGTTGAGGTATTGACTATATCTACGCCAAACACAAGTCTTCAGCTAATTTTATCTTTCACTTTGGCGTGTTTCTCTTCTGTTTCAATAATGTAGATCATGTGTCATAGCGTGGTTTAACGTTAATAACAAATATTGCAATATGATCCTGAAAATGCCTGTTATTCATTTCTGCAGCTATTAATGACATATGTATCAAAAGGAACATCATAAGATATCACGGAGATTTACTATTAACATTGTATAAGCTAAAAATTGTCTTTTTTAAGCATGTATATTTTAAAATTCTTTAACTTCATTTATTTAAAATTTTTTTAACTTCATTTATTTAAAATTATTTTAACTTCATTTATTTAATTCATTTATTAATTTAACTTCATTTATTTAATTCATTTATTTAAAATTATTTTTAATAATTATTTAACGTTCACTTTTTTTAAAAAAAGGAAACTTTCATTTATTTAATTCATTCATTTAAAATTATTTTAACTTCATTTTTTAATTCTTCATTTAATTATTTAACGTTCATTTTAAAAAAATAACTATTTAATTTAAGTTTTGAGATCCGAAAGGTAATTTATTACTGTTCTGAAATTGTATTTATAAGAAGAAAAAAAAGCCTTGCAATATCAATAATTCTAAGATCCTATGCCGTATATTTTGACATTTGAATGACAGAAATACACGCTAATGTTTCCATCGTCATTTAAATCTTCAGTACTGGAATCTGGAAACAGCATACTCAGGCACTTCTTGATCTCGCTACTTAAACTATACGAGAAAATTTGGCATTTTTCAGGTTGTCTTATTCAAAATCTGATATTCGTTATTTTTATTTTTAGTCAAGAAAACAGGAGTGACAAAGGAAGAGTAAGAAGGATAACGTTTATTAATGACAGTAAAGTTTGTCATAAGAGTTTTTTAATAAGGCGTTGAAAAAGACAGAAGTTTCTTTTATGTGTAAGAAGCTCAATTGTTGAAGTTTTCCCCTTTTTTATATTCGGTTGTTTAGTATCCCATTATGTTATCACTTCATCTAGTTCATTATTTATAAAACGCAGTCTCTCATTATTCTTCAGTATTCTCCAGAGTTTGCTTTATTTCAAACAGCAATTTGTCAACATTTTGACAAAATGAGAGTGGAGTGAGTGACGTTAATTCTTTGGCGTAGTATTAGCGTTAAGTATTATATAATTTCAGCATCATCAAAAATAGTGATAAATATAAATAGGAGATAAGGATATAAATTAAATACTGAAAGAAAAATTTAACGGCGAGATTGAGTTTTCAATACCATATTCTTTCCTTCAAGCATAGTTTAGATTGGACCAGGGTTTCTTGAACTGTGGGTCGCGACCGCAGCAGAACGGTTACCACAAATTTTAGCAGTTTGGATATTTCTTTAATTTTTTTGTAATAATTTTACAATTACCAAATATTTTTACACAATGTATCTTCTTTGCACGTGACAATGTCATTTCGTCTGTTACTTATTTTCTCATTGTTCTATGTCTTAGAATTAGAAATTAAAGATAATGACCTTAAACTGCAATAGTATATCACAGTACGAGTGAAAAAATTGACAGTTTCACTCACGCGAGTGTCGAAGTTGCGCAATACTTATGGGGTCCCACAAAATTTTTGTAAATATTATGGGGTCCTGGGGCTCGTGAAAAAATCTCAGTGATAAAAGGAAGTCGCGACTGGAAAAAGTTTAAGAAACACTAATTTAGGCAATATTTTACTGCTTCTTATCCCTACATCTATGCCAATATTCATAGATGCTATCTGATGTGCATTTATTTTTAGTTAAAGTGACTTAAACCAACTATATTAAGAGTTCAACTTACTGCTCCTACACCCCTATTTTAAACGAGATCACGCTAGGGAATGAAATCTGAAGTTATTTTTTCTTACCGCTCATTCTCTAAAGTCTTTAATGTCACACGAATTCTAAGTAACAATAATGTAAGCACCAGAAATCTCTGTAATTTGTCTGGGATTGAAACACAGCTTAAAATGGGAGGGTGTGAAATTTGCTAAAAACAACTCGTTCTGGGTGGTAGTATAGTAGATAATTAAGCAATTGAAGCATATCCAGAAAATAACTAAAACGAATATGCTTGCACAATAATTAAATAAATAAAATTTGAATGTATTGGATATCTAGAGTGAGAAGTTATTACAAATTACTAGGAAACTGGATAACAAAGTAAAAAATTATCAATTACATCTGTATATGCTAAGTGCATTTTCGTTTACAGAAAAAAGATGTTTACTTAAGTGTTTAATGGGCTTTCCCCATTTAACTCTCAGATTGCAAATAATCACATAGTTACTAATTAGAATGCATGAAATTTGGTAATAATCTGAATGGTAAAAAGATTTCTATTGACACACATAATATTTTGGTAGTTTTGATATTTTGTTTTCCATTTATCGCACAAAACATGGAGCAGTTAAAAGTTTTGCTGAGACAATAATGTACTTTGTTGACTGCTAGCAGCAACGTCAGAAACAAAGAATCTTAATTTTAGAAAGTGGAAGAAATACAATTAAACACATGTTACGAGAATCTATAGCAATATAAAAGCAAGTATTTTTCTTTAATAATAAATATACATATAAATTTTATAATAAAAATAAATAATAATTATAATAAAAATAAATAAATACATAAATTTTATTGAGAAAAGGAAAAAAGAAACATTTTAAAGGTGCTTATTATTTTTCGTTCGTAGCTTTTATTTCTCATTCAGGCAAACTTGATGAAAATATTTGTTGTAAGTGTTAAGCGCAAATAATCTGGTGAAATAAATACATATGCATTTCATCTTAAATAATAATTTTTCTCTTTATAAAATGCGTGCATATGTTTTTCCGTGTTGTTAATAATTTACAATGAAATATTATCAGAACAAATTTCTGTTTTCTTATTTGACTTTGTATTCTATATCTTAATCTCTAGGGAACTTATT